GAATCCCCTGTGTCCATACTGTCCGCTTTGAGGGTTATACTTTGTTGCTCGTAACTTTACTATAAACATATTTTATAAATAAAGAGAAAGAAGACGTTAAATGAAAGTAAAACAGCAAAATGTAGCCAGATTTTTGTATTCATCTACCGTAATTCTGCTCCATGCAAATCACTTTTACCTCATGGCATTTCTGATAGAGTACAACATCAAGTATGTGACGTTTCCACTGAAGTCCTCACGTAGTCTGTAGAAACTGACCTCTGTTTGTCCCTTTCAGCCAGTTTAGGATTGTTTTTTGTTTTGTGGCAGCAGGCTTAAGTCCGATAGTCATCTGTTTCACGTGGATCCAGTGATTCGCCACTTATCATCATGGTTGTAATACCACTGTCTTTATCTTTTAACTTCCTCAACAATATACTAAACATCGCCACACACTCGCTTTAGTTATTGACAAATCAGTTGTGCCAAGACCTGTTGCCGACAATGGCACGAACACAACAGTGCAAGATGAACTCATATCTGCCAGCCCCTCCAATGACACTAAACGGTTGGGAACTTGGTGGGTACAAGAAAATAATGTTGATTTGTAAGAAAGAAGTGATAGTGTATGGATCAATATGGAGCATTGACCATGCCAATGAGAAACCAATTGACTGGTGACCTGTGTGATAAAGCCATTAGATGATTGGCTTGTACTTTTTGTTCATCATGTTCTTACGCTGGCAAACTGTGTGTGTGTGTGTGTGTGTTGTGTGTGTGTTGTGTGTGTGTGTGTGTGTGTGTGTGGTTGTGTGTTGTGTGTGTGTGTGTGTGTGTGTGTGTGTGTGTGTGTGTGTGTGTGTGTGTGGTGTGTGTGGTGTGTGTGTGTGTGTGTGTGTGTGTGTGTGTGTGTGGGTGTGTGTGTGTGTGTGTGTGTGGTGTGTGTGTGTGTGTGTGTGTCGGAACCAGGTCTCTACAAAGAAGCCAGCTTATTTTCGCACTCAGCCTAATTAATCCATCTCTCGGTGACAAAAGGATCCCCACCTTCCTCCGGCCCGTCCCATTGGCATTTTGGGGCAGAGGGATTCAGCAGGACCCCCGGGCACCCCTCCTGCCCTGACCCCTGCCCCCCCACCAGGGGAGCATCTGTGGATCGATCCGGGGCCAGCTGGCACCAGGGGAGAGGGGCAGGACTGACACCAACACAACCGCCTCGAAATAAAGTCGATCATCGTCCTTTGTTTAGTTTATATGGCAGTAAAGCGTCACTGTTGGCTGGATTGCTGTTATTATTATTGTGGGTTGCGTGGGTCTTCTAACATGTGGCCTGATGTGTTCGAGTGTGTGTGTTTGTTTGTATGAGTGTGGTACAAAGATGTAAGTGAATCAAATGATGCTCTGCAGTTGCACTTGGATGCAGCTAGGGGGCAGCATACAGCCACACCACCCCTCCCTCCTTTTTCTATCCTCTTTTCTTAAGCTGTGCCACACACACACACACACACACACACACACACACACACACACACACACACACACACACACACACACACACACAGGTATTTAGTCATTCTCTGGGCTCAGAAAGAGAGAGCACATTGATAGTCCTCTCTATAATACATTAAACTTCTGCATTGTCCTTTTCTTTCATTTTACACATTGTCCCAACCTCCCTGTCACCCTAATCCCAGCTACCCCCTCACTTTCTCCCCAACACACACACACCACACACACACACCACACACACACACACACACACACACACACACACACACACACACACACACACACACACACACACACACACACACTGATTGACAAGCAGCATCCGGGGAAATAGAGCCGATATTCATTGTTTGCTGTCCCTACTCAAATCTGTTGAAACGGTTATTCCATTCTTGCGCCGGGGTATTTGCATATCCTTAAGTATTTCCTATTTTCAAGATCCCTCTCCCCCTTCTCCTCCCCATCCGCCTTTTTGCTAAATCCCCTCTTCTTAAGTGTTTGGTGCATTTAGCAAATCCATTCATAACGTATCTACATGCACTATTAGCTTAGTGTAATGGCGAGGGTGTAATCTGCACAGAGTTCTTTTCCCATCTTCCTCTTCTCTTGAAGGGCTGTTCTTTTGACAAGCTGGGGTTGCTGGTGGGGCGATGATACGTCATTACGTTTCCCATCTAAAGTGACAAGGCCCAAATGTCAGCACGAAATGTCAAGTGGCCTCGCTACTCCTTCGCTCGACTTCTTCTGTAGTTTTTTATTTAATTATTGGTCTGAGTATGGAGCGAGGTGGGAATGATGGAGAGAGATTGAAGGATAGAAAGGCAAGACAGAAACAGAGGGATAGAGGTTACAGACTCAGATTCTGATCATTTCTGCCAGGTCCATTTGAAGTTTCAGGTCTCGTCTAACTGGAAACTAGCTTTTGAGAACTGTATTTCTTCGGCTGGTCTGGGATTCACACTGTCAACCTTTCATTGACAAAAATGCTTTTGAGCCCACATGCCACCTGGGTGAGCTGTTCAGCCTGTAACTCTCAATAAACACACACATTTACTCAGGCAATTGGGCCTTATCCTTGTTGTTGAGTCCTGACATATTTATGAATACATATTTAGAAAAGCACTTATTGAATACACATTGATAAGTAATCACAAATGTTGTTTTCTAAACAATTGAGGTAACAGAATTGGTAACGTGTAGCTGCCTCTTGAATATTCTAGCCACAAAAACGACATGTATACATGGTTTGTGACCTAACATTTTCATCGTCATAACTACATTGTAGCTATGTTCGTATGGCCAATAAAAGCCTTGAATCGCACACATATTAAAGTATATGATTATGATTTTTTCATTTTATTTAAGTACACAATCACATGCAGTGTTAGTATTTGTTGGCTGGCCTATAGATTTCTAGTCCCTTTTTCGAGCTTATACAGTTTCTCACCCTATAACCAATACCTTTACTACTCCATCCTTAGTGTGTGTGTGTGCGTGCGCGTGTGTGTGTCCTGCGGTCCTCAGCGATAAGGCTAAGATTGAGTTTTCTCCGCCGAGCCAGAACCTCTGAGATGGTGTGTGTTTGTGTGTAAAGACATCTGGAACCGGGCAATGTAAAGAGCTTCTATCACTTTATCTACCATACACTCCGGAGTGTATATGTATATATGCTCTCAAACCGGTGTTGTGTGAGAGAAAGCTCGCTGCTCTGCTTTGTTCGGCATTGTGCGCATGAGAGGGTGAATCCTCTGGGCTCTATTCACAGCTCTGTGGTATCATAACACAGGAGTTTGTGTGGTTAGTAGGGCTGCACTATTTGGAGAAAACATCCAGTTATTTTGAGTAATTTGATAATTATAGTTTGATTTTCCAAAAGGATCTGTACCAAACATATGTTTTCTTAATGCCGGGATATCTCTGCAGCTTTCCAATTCTTCGTTCAAAATGGTATTAACACACTTATTGATCATTTAACCAATATTATATTATACATTTTGCAATTTCCATATTATTTTTGATAATCATGCAGCGCTATAAAGGTAGGTTTGTCTACAATCATATATGCAATATCATATAGACTAAAAAACTGATTTAGAGAGAATATTTGTTTTAACACTGCTTGCTGCACATGGCCTGTAAAGAGACGTGTGCACGTGTGTCTGATCTTTACGTTGTCAGTCTCTCATCATGCAAGTTAACCATCGTCAGTTAACCAGGGAAATGTGTCAGTTTTCTTTCCCATCACTGAAACACAGTCTGTAAAAACGTAGGAGGCACAACAGAAGAAGAGTGGTATCAACACAGTAAGGAGGTGAAGCAGTCTGCTATTCACTGACAGCGTGGTGTCACACCCGCAGAAAACTAAACCCATCCGTTTTTGTTAGAGGAAGGGGAGGGGGGACATCCCATACTGTTTAGTTTCCATATCTAGCAGTCAGTGACAAGGCTTTCTGGCAGTTCTCATATTTCACACACTGTCCTCTGGTGAGCAGCTTGCAAGTGCAAACACACACACACACACACACACACACACACACACACACACACACACACACACACACACACACACACACACACACACACACACACACACACACACACACACACACACACACACTATAACTCTTATCACATGGTCTGTGGCATATTCCCAAATTCCAATTTGACTGTTAGCCCCTGGCCCAGAGCAGATCTCTGAAAAGAAGTGCAGCAAAAATGTCTTCAGCACGGACCTTTTGATAGCAAATATCAGGAGGATTTCACAACTGAATTCACAATGAGGATATTAGCTTGTTCTGGTGGCCAAATACATCATTTACCTGGATATTGTAACCACCAGTTTTTGTTACACAGGGGGTCCGTGGGGTCTTAAAAAGTATTAAAAGTTGATAAATCAATTTAGCGAAAATGAAGGCTATTAAAAAGTATTAAACGGCATTTTCCAAGGTGTTACATTTTGTAGCTTGTTTTCAATAAGTATATAAATTGTCCAAAGAGGTTGTATTCTACAGTCTGCCTGAATGTAATCATGGCGTAGGTGTGTAGTGTGATTCTGTGTAGTTTATTGATGGCATCCCGTTGGATTTGACGTCATCTGAACAGGACATCGCACGCTCACTGCTTGATAGCGCGCGAAGGTCCGTTTACGCCGGTTGCTAAACAACATCGTTATGGGGAAATGCAAGTTTGCGTCCAAATGGTTGGAAGATAAGGAGGAAGGACAATCAATAGTCAATGTGAGGTGAAGTGTGTCGCCAATGTAACCGGTTAGAACTCAAAGTGGCGATGAGGTCTTAAAATGTATGGAAAGGGACTTAAAAAAGGTCTTAAAAGGTCTTGCATTTGACTTCAGGATTCCTGCATATACCCTGTAAAACCTTTAATACTTGTTCCCAAAGTAAATGTAAAACCGGTTTTCGCAGAATATGCTTAAAATGTCAATGCTATACCGTGTAAATTGACCAAAATGGGCTTTTTTTCACCTGTATGTGCTCCATCTTTGTGTCCCTCTGCAGGAGTCTCCATCAGGGCGGAGGAAGGCCCTGGCTACCAGCAGTATAAACATGAAGCAGTACGCCAGCCCCATGCCCACACAGACCGATGTCAAGCTCAAGTTCAAGCCGCTGTCCAAGAAGGTGGTGTCGGCCACGCTGCAGTTCTCCCTCTCCTGCATCTTCCTCCGTGAGGGAAAGGCCACGTAAGTCACCGTCTTCTGATTAAAGTATTCAGAATTCTTTAGTTAGCTTTTCTGAGGGTGAACATTTGTCTTCTAGGCTTTTTGTCAAAGAGTTTATTGCAAATAATTTAGAAGACGGCTTTATAAGGAATCACTAGGCCAATCTGTCTGGGTATTTGTATAGTTATACTGAATGTGTACCCATAGATTAAACGTATAAGGATATGTGCACACTTAATGTATGCGCACAGAAACGGACACACATCAGTCTTACATTCTTTGATTGCACAAAGTTTAATTTACAGACGCACTCACTTTCAGCTTCTCATTCACATCTTTGATATCACCAACTTTCATTTGAGGACACACACTCTCCATCACGTTGTCTGCCGTTTGTTATTCATTCTGATTTGATAGAAGGGACTTTTATTTAAAGACAGGCACACACACACACACACACACACACACACTGAGCAGGAGCAAAGCATCAAGGCCTTTGTTGTGGCGTGGGCGGCGGGTCGATGGCGCGTAACCCTTGTTAACCCTTCGGGGAATGATGTCGACCACACACAAACAAACTCAATCACACCAGTTCAAATGAGCCTCTGGGCCTGGGAAACACCAAACACAAAGAACAGAGAGGAGAGCGCATTGATTATGATGGAGCGGCGGTTTGAGGGACTGAGGGGGAGTACACAGGACTACATTAAATACAGGCAGTACTGTAGAATAAAGGGAGGGTGGGGGGAAATAAGAGACAATGGGTGGAAGGGAATGAGGAGAGAAGAGAGGTTTGATTTGTCAGGATGAGATGTGCTTCAAATGTAGGAGTGAAGTTAAAGTCTCATGGTTGTTATGACAATAAGGTTTGTAGATGAAGTGAAGAAGAGTAGTGGAAGAAGTGAAGACAGAAAGAGAAGGATTGAGAGCTATGATAATACTTATGGTTTTGTATCCCTTGTAGTTGGTTTTAAATATGAACCTATGGTAATCATTCGTACTTTTTACCACTATAGAGAGGCCAAGTCCCTCCCTTTCCGGGGGAGCTCCATGAGACCTTATTTCGGAAAAATGATGTATTGAAGTCAATGGGGAGAGAAAGATTATATTTCGATTCAGTTTGAATTGTGCCACGAATTACACATATGATGTTTGTCCATTTAAAAGATAATTTTGTCAAAAAAAACGTGTCGTAAAACTGTGAAGTAAGACTTTTTTTTGTGTGAAACCGCTCAATGAACTACATTTCTCGTCTCGCACCACACACCAAGACGGCCGTCACGTTGGAACATTTCTTTCAGAATGAGGCGAAAAGTATTAAACGAGGTGAAAATCACTCCAACTCTGGGCACGTTGAGAGCTGTGCATACACACAAGGGGAGTTAGTCGGTCCGTAAGAGCCAACATGCGGGACCGGGACTCTGGGATTTGTAGTCTTTCTAGTTGCGTATTTTTCATAGTCTTATATTTCAACAGTTTTACGTCAAACTGACTTTTTTGTCATGGAAATAATTTTTTAAGATTGACAAACATCATATGTGTAATTCGTGGCACAATTCAAACGGGATCGAAAGATAACTTTTCTCTCTCCATTGACTTCAATACATACTTTTTCCGAAATAAGGTCCCATGGGTCGGAAGTAGAGGGGCGGGACTTCGCCTCTCTATTGTATTAGCATATGTATCTGTTATAAACACTGTTTCTACCTCTAAACATAAGTTTGTGTCTGTTTTCTATGGTGCAGTGATGAGGACATGCAGAGCCTGGCCAGCCTGATGAGCATGAAGCAGGCCGACATCGGTAACCTGGACGACTTTGAGGAGGAGAACGAGGAGGACGAGGAGAACAGGGTGAACCAGGAGGAGAAGACTGCCAAGATCACAGGTGACTGACTCAAAACTATTTGTATTCCTTTGACACTGTTTTGATGAACCGAGATACACCGGCCGACATGGATCAAAGTCACACATGTTGCTGCTTTGCTGGAATCATCCATTAAACCTGAGCACAGTAATATGTTGACTACTGGCCAGAATTCACGCTTTTCAGTGACTTTTCCTGTGCTGTTATTGGTCAATCAGTCTGCTAAACCAGCTATTTTGCAGCTGGCAAATTAACTTGACCAGCAAAAAGCCAGGGTTTGTACAAAGTCTTGATAGATTGGAAAATGCTTAATTTCAACCAGTACGTTTACAGCTATTCCACCATCACCACGGCTTCAGCGGGGCATCAGCTTTGCTTCTTTCTTATGTTATTTAGTTGTTTTTTACGTTTCCGCTTCTTCAAGTGTGCATGCTTGCATACGTAGGATTATATATTCATGGGTTTCATTTACAGTGTCTGTATTTATGTTATCTTTTATTGCTGTACTTCCCAGCTGTTATTCTTTGTTCCTTGCTTTCTTCTTGTGTCTTGGACGCGTGGTGGCTTCCATGCAGTACATGTTGAGGATTCATACTATGGTCTCATGTACGGGTGCCTCCTGCTTTGCTTAATCCAACTTTTCTTCATGTTAAGCTTCATGCTTTCTCTCCTTTGCGTACCCTTCCCTGCTCTTTGTCTCATATGTATATGCATTGAGCGCCTACAGCGATGCTTCACTAGCGGCTCTCTGAATCAAAGGCCCGGCCGAGCTGCCAAAACTCCCCTCCGCCACATTCCCCCCCCGATGCTACCTACCCAACAAACTGCAACACTAACACCAGCTAACCCATGCAAACCCTGCAACACATGTTCTCTTTCTTAGCTTTCACTCACAGTGTGTGAAAAGTGAATATATTACACCTAGAATCGTTGTATTTTTCATCTTCATGAATATATACAATTTGTGGGTATATTGATTGTGAATATGTGTGTGAGTGTTGGACTACTTACCAAGTCAACCAGCCATCAACTTCAAATGACTAAAAACATGCAATGTCAAAGTAAAGATATTTTACTTCAGCTTTTACTCATCATTGTATCAAATGATCTTGATTTTAGGACGGTTAGTCTTTTAGTATTGATTGTTAAATATGTGAGTCACTCTTTCAGTTTCCCAGGAAGGTTTACTTTTCAGTTTTTTAGTTTTGAAATACCTTTTGTATACCAGTTTTAATTCCTCAAGATTTAGTTGCACTTACCAACAAAACACATGGTGCTATAATATTTTAGCTTTGACCTGTTAGTCAGGTGCATTTGAATTCAAACCCCAGTCTGTAATTATTAGACCAGATCCTTTGGTTTATTGTCAGAAGAGTTGAATGAAATTGATACTGATTCTTATTTTTGGTAGAGATATATTTAAGCTAAGAAACTAATGTAAGACAATATCCTTTGAGTTGACTTTTTCCTAAAGAATATTGTTTTATTTGAGTGTCAGTGTACAACATTATGTTTAATTTAGTTTAGCTGACAGTAACACCCTGCTACAGAGTTAACCAACTCATGCAGTTTGACACAATGATCTGTGTATTTGGAGATATACTTTAGATCAAGCACAAGTAGCAAGCTAGTTCAAAAATAGCAATAAAACTACAAACTAAATCAAGGAATATACACAGGAATATGCACTTTCCTCATCTCTGTTTATATATGTATTTGTTAAAAGAGTGTGTGTGTGTGTGTGTGTGTGTGTGTGTGTGTGTGTGTGTGTGTGTGTGTGTGTGTGTGTGTGTGTGTGAGTGTGTGTGTGTGGGCTATTTCTCTGGGATGTGTTATTTTGCCTTATTCACTGCTATTCTTCCTTCCTTCCTTCCTTCCTTCCTATATGGCCCTGTCCTTTACAGAGATAGTAAACCATTTGAATGCCCTCAGCTGCTTAGATGATGATGAGGATGATGATGATGATGCTGGTGTCCTTATGCGAGCACGCAAAGCAACCGCTAAGCCTGCCGCTTCCTCCCAAGGTCTTTTTTCACCTTTCTTTCACCTCTCTCATCCCGTGTTCCTGACTCGTTGTGTCACCTCTACACTGCCATGCATTACCACAATCTCTTTACATATCATTATTTTCTTAATCCTGTCTTTTCTAGCTTTCCGTCTCTTTTTATTTCTCTCTCTTTCACTCAAACGTCCCATCCCCTGATCCTCCTTGACATTGGTATTGTGATCGTGTTGTGGTGGTACAATTGATCTTGGGTCATGTGGTGATGTGCAGTAAGAGGTGTTGTGAACACATCCGTTGGTGTTTATCTTTTTGGTTCATGTTCTTGTTTTTGTGACAGTGTTACTTTCCCTTTTGTTTTACTGCAATTGGTAGTGAACCATAACATGTACATGGGATCCAAACTAAGTGTTCTTACCTTTTAAAACCCTTAGATGCCCTTAGAGTGACTGGACTCTACACTCTTCCATAAGTGGGTCAAAAAGGACCCGTATTAGAATAATGTGTTTTTATGCCATTTTTGTCATTTTGGTTAAGAAAAATCACTTAATAATATTTAGTATTATATTTTGGTTCACACTAGGAATATTTAATATTACATTTTTCACTATTTATCATTTTAGACATTTTTTTTACATTTTGAAAAAAAAAACGAAATTCCATAGAAAATGCATGCGGGTCATTTCTACCACACTTACATGTATGGAAGCTTGGGGTAGAAATACAAAAACTACCATTTCTTAAAATGTACATTCAAAATTTGAATGGCATGATATCCAAAACATGTTTTTTGAGGAATAGCTGGAATATGAAATGATAAAAAAATGTAATTACAAAGATACTCCAAGAAAACCACCTCCCGGGTCAAAAAAGACCCACTTATGCATCTACGGGTTAAAGAAAAAAAAGTTTTGCTTTGTCAATTTGGAATTAAGTGCATTTGTTTTCAGTTGGACTTTGTATTGAATCTGTGGTATTCTTATCGTGGATCCCATTACCTTAACACTCAGGACATTACAATAAAACACACATTACATTACATTGCATCTAGCTGACACTTTTATCCAAAGCGACTTGCATTCGACCAAGAAGACACAACCTTGAATAAAACAGAATCATATAAGTACATCAGGTTTCATAAAGCCAAACATTTCAAGTGCTACTCAACTGGCTTTAGATAAACCAGTCCTTTGTTAGTATATAAGTGCTTTGTTAGTAATTGTATCGCTCGAAGTGGAGTCGAAAGAGATGAGTTTTCAGTCTGCGCCGGAAGATGTGTTTCTGCTGTCCTGATGTCAATGGGGAGCTCATTCCACCATTTTGGAGCCAGGATAGCAAACCCACGGGCACATACACTGGTGATTGAAGTTATAAGGATTATATTGTTGTACAACACCATAAAAAGACAGAGCTAATGTCCAAACACTCAGTAAATCGTACAGCTTTTATTCTCTCTTTCACACGTGTTACTGGGCATTTGGGCCACATGTAACATTTCATCCTTCTGTAAAGTTCCCTTTTTCACAGGAAACACTGCTTGTAGTTAGAAACACAATCACGAACAGAGTATTCTAATATGAGCAATTGATTAAATCATAGGTAAGGCTTAAGAGAAATTATTATATCAGCAGTAAAACTAATCAACTTGATCATATCATCAGTAAAAGATAGCTTTGAGATTCTAATTGGGCCTGGAGCTGGTGAGAGGCTTCAGAGCGATAATATAAAACATTTCTAAGTCAGATAGAGTTGAGGGGGTTAGAGAAACATCAGCATTATGTTAGTGGTCTCAATCTATCTGCTTTGAAGGGTAAAAGTAGATATTCTTTCTCTTACCACTAAGACTATTCTACATGGTTTCACTGGCTAGTCAATATTTCAGGGTTAACTATTTAGTTAAATAACCGATCATTGCTTATAAGGAAATCTTTCACACACTCATGCACAGGTCTAATGTCCATGGCCTAAACTGGGTTGCGAATGTTGTCAGTCAGAGGCGAGGATGTGCCGGACCCCTTATCAGCTAACACCACTTCACAAAGCCCCCCTACATATAGACCAAGCGACACACACTCACACACATACTCTCACACACACACAGCACTTGTTCTCTTTGTACAGATTCTCACAGCAGCATTTCTTGGCATCTACCTCGCACACATTTACACTCTTTACAAACTGACCCACACCATGGCAGCATGCGATGACGATGATGAAGATAAAGTGGACAACTCTCCGCCTTTCCAGCTGGGATCTCCATAGCAACTCTCTACTGCCTTCACTGTCCCCCACAGCAACAACCCATACCGCACACATTTTCCCAGAATGCCACTGCTGTATGCATCAAGTGGGCTGAGGTGGTGGAGCACATAAAAGTTCAGGCTGCAGGATTACTTACACAGGACTTTTTTCAATGCTCATGGTTCACTCCAAAGTGCAGATTTTGGTTAATATGGGTTTGTGAATGTTTGTATTCATTTCATTTTGGTGGATGTATTGTGCTGTAGTTGTTTGTCTTGACTCTGTAGTTCGTATTCATGACTTTTTGTTTGACTCTTGTGGCAACAGAGCTCATCAACAAGCTGAACTTCCTGGACGACGAGGATCAGGAAGTGCCTCCCGCCTTGTGCTCAAATCCCTTCGAAGATCCTGATGACGACCTTCATCCGAACCACCTCAACCCGTTTGATGATCCTGACGACACAGGTACGCATGTGACAAAAGCAATCAATCTAATTTCATTTTGGTGGATGTATGTTTTTTTTAGTAATTTTAGCTGGTTTTAGGCTTTAATATTCTGAATGCTAGCACAAGAAAAGTGTTTATTTTGGGGTGTCAGTAGAAAGACAGCGGATGCTACTCAAAGGTTTTGGTTGTGCACATACCTTGAATGTGTGTATTCATGTGTAACTATAGCGGGGAGGCTCCAATGCTTTCAGTCAGACAGCTAAACCAATATTTTGGTCTGACCACCTGAGTAGCCAGGTGAATTAGTATGGATTATTTGTTTTTGAGTGGCATGCTCCCACCCACACACACAGAGCTCCCACTTTGATGCTTGTTTAATCTGAACCTTATTGTTCGTATCAGTCTAGGATTTTGCTTCCTTGTGCACATGTTTGGATAAATATATTCTTAGACATTTCTTTTTAGGACATCCTAATCTTATTAAACCACTTTTGAAACGTAAGATTTCAATTGGTTTGAAGGTTGGTATATTTTTACGTTCATTTGAAAAGATATTCATTTGTTTCTGTGGATCTCGGCAAAATTGAACACACATTTACTCAGTTTTTATGGTATGATATTAACCATACATTTTTCTGAATTATCCTCCAAGTGAACTAATGTTAACACAATATTGAAAAACCAACCAAAACCTAATTGATGTAAGGAAATGTATGTAAAATCTGATAGGAATCAAACACTACTGACATTAGCATAATAAATCAATCCAGAGGGAAGCCACTGGTTTTGTTATATCTGAATTTTAAACTCTTGCATAGTGTGTTGTACATGCACTCACCGCTCTCTCCTCAGCCCAAACAGAGCCCCCTGCCCAGCCGGTCTTAAGGCAGCGGGTTGAAGATACCTCCTTCTACGACCACGATTCCTCGAATCCGTTTGATGACCCGGAAGAACCGGAGACAGAAACGGCTCCGGGGAATCCCTTCGAAGAGGCCGACCCCGACACGGACCTCCAGCCGGACCCAGAACCCCCCAAACCCAGGCAGAGGAAAGGAGTCCGGCCTGTGGACATGAGCAAGTACCTGTACGCAGACACAGCGCGGGAGGAGGAGGAGCAGCTTGATGAGTAAGACTTTATGTCTTTTTTTGTCCAATTTCTTTATCATATTTGTAATCTACTGACACAGGAAATGTACCTCTTGTATGTTTTGTCCTTTGTTTCTTTCACTTTCATTTGCATGTATTACTCTTGCATTGAATACAATAAAAGGAGTCCTTAAGCCCCTTTTTGTATGTACAAAGTGCATTTGTATGTCAGAGTAGAGAGGCCTATGTTATATGGTTTGCTTTAGATAAATATACTTTCCTAAATGGTTTTCATGTCTGAGTAGCCCGTACTAAAAGCAGCAGTCTGGAAGGTTTCAGGCTGCCAAGCTGCTTTACTGGTGGCAGGCCAAGTCGTCTGAGACCCCTCCTTATGAAGGGGCACTTGTAGCCCCCCCATCAGGGCAGAGTGACGAGGCAGCTCTTTCAACGGGAACAAGGGCCCTGTTGTTTCTCCGCATTCTTTAACCTTGTCTCCCTCCTTTCCCTCTCCTGTCGTCCCCTCCTTCCCTCTCCCCCTATCTGCTTGTTGCCTCATACTTTCCCTCCTCGCCATCATCCTTTACTTCCTCCTCAGACTCTGCTAATTTCTACTTTCCTTTCTTCCGTTTTTCATCACTTAAGTGTATTTAATTTGCCATTTAATTTCAGTCTTGAATTATTCCCATTTTACGGCATTGATAGTATAAAAGTAGATGAGGGTTAGGGTTACTGCATCTACAATATGTGTCTCCTGTTAAAAAAACAAAGGCAATCAGTGACAGTAGAACTAGTGGTGACAGAGAGCTTTGAGAGACAATTAAAACCGATTTTGCTTATCACTTGGCAGAGTTGTTGCACATAAAAGAAACCATACTGTCAAAGAGAGCTCATTTGTAACATGTAATCAGTGCCTTAATGGCTAAAACAACATCTTATTGTGTGGACCCCCTTCTGTAGCCTGCCCTAAATAGTAAACCTGAAGTTTTCTCCTGTTGAGGGACGCTGTCACTCAGAAAGCCGTATATTTTAGTCCTCTCGTCTTCTAAAGACAGACAGGTTACTGACTGGTATGTTTCTTTTGCCCTGTCTCTTACATCAGGAGTAGTCCTCAGCAGAATAGAAAGTTCAAGAGGGCAGAGCAGTGTTTTGACTGGAGCCCTTTCACATGTCTTTTAGCCAGCGCTGGTCTGTTAAAGCTGCTCTATGGGCCTGCCTGCTCTACTTTGCTTTACTTACCTCCTTTCTCCCTCTTCGTATCGCTCTGAGCTTAGATAGACACTGAGCAGCTCTAACCTCAGCCTTTTTCTTTCTTACTCTCGCTCTGACCCCCACCCTCTCCATCCAATTCTCTTGTTTGTTTAGGATTGCTTGTTGCATGTTGAGTGAATGTCTCAAGGCCGTGCCCCTGCTTTCAGTGCCACAAGCATGCCTGTATATTGATAACACTCTGGTATGTGTGTACGAGTGCCTGTGTGAGTGTGTGTGTGTGCCTTCGTGCTCCTGCCTGTCTGTCTGTCAGTAGTCCACATTGGGCAGTAAGGATATGAGGTCACGCAGACCTGACCTCAGTGCACCTGCATCTTCTATTACCTTTCCACTTGTGTGTGCCGTTCATTGTATTGCACAAAACTCTCGTTTCCGTGTCGCAATTTCCTGATGTTTAACTCAACAATGAGATTTTAGAGCAAATGATGCATTTAAATAGTGCTCAATAACTCTGCAAAAAGGATCTATAATGTTCGTTGTATGCATTAGTCTTTATATGTTACACATCTGAATTGCATTGCTTTAATATCCCTTGACATATTAAGAAATGCCTGTTTTTCTTTATTTTATATTTTTTTCTTGCGGATTTTGCATTTGTTTTTCTTCAGAAACACAATCTTTGAAGCAAAAGGTCAAACTAATCTTAATAATTAAATAATCCTCTATCAATGCACATTGCTTTAACTTCATTTCTTTTTAAGAAGAAAAAAGATTAATTGTAGTCTGTGCTCACTTTCTATCATGACATTTTGTTTCCCCCTCTCACCCTCCTTTCTCAGATCTAACCCGTTCTACGAGCCAAGAACATCGAGCCCCGAGCACCCCCCCGCTGGTAGCCCCTCTCTGGATGTGGGCAGCGGCCAGAAGAGGAGGGCCCCCCCCGCCCCCCAGCTCCAGCTCTGGCCTGGGCCCCAGCACCCCCGCTCCCAAACCCAGCGCTGGACCAGACAGAGAGAGAAACCAGCCGGTCGGGCCCAGCCCAGTCGCCGTGGTGATGGGGAGAGAGCTGGCCTCCTCCTCCCCCAAGGTAAACACACTTCACCTGAACGCAACACACTCGATTTATACCCAAAACAGGCCCACAGACATGTATGACAAAACAACAAACGTGGAAAATGCACACATGGGACAACCGCTTCAACACGTGTATTTCGGTTTATTTACGGCATTCATTTAGTTATTCTACAATATTGTTATTTTATAGTTATTTGTTAATGTATATAACCCAATTTGTGTTCTTTGAAATTGAAAAGGATATTGTGTTTGTGACTTTCGTTGCAGTTGTATATGTCTTAAGTGTAATTTGGCTTGGCTTCCTATTTTGTATGGACATGCTTTTATTTTGAAGGAGAGTTAGTGCTGTTGACAGGAAATTGTTGTTGCTATGGAAACAACGTGACGGAGATTAATGGAGAAAAGTCATATCTACATATAAAGACGGAGAAAGTAAACGATAACGTTTATGGTTAAGTGTTAGCACCCCTCGAAGAATAATAAATTCAAAAAAACGAATATCCGAATAACGAAATGGAAACCCGAATAGTACTCCAGTGTTTCCCCTACCATTGTCTTGGAGGGGCGCTGCAACCCGCCAACGGAGCCCCGCACCCCCCCCCCTAAAATTCAAGGTGTTTAAAAAAAAAGAAGGTATATATAATATATATTGCAAATTGCATATATCATATCTACTGTCACTTTACACATTGAACATGTACTCTTCTATTAAATAAACTAAAAGCTTTCATTTTAAGTTGTGAGTTTAATGTTTTTGACCCTAAGAAACACTGTACTCCTACGAGGTACAGCCCTACCATGTAGGCTCAGCTTCTCTGAAAAATATATTCTATAATCCACAGTACAATTTGAATAGACAAATGTAAACATCACATACACACAGTAAAGAAGGGTTTACGCTTTTATTTTATTTTTTATTAACCACTCGGTAATGTTTTTCAGAGGACCAAAGCTTCAAATAGTTTAGTTCATCTTTACCATAATCTGAAGTAAAAAACGCAAAGTTCTGCAGTTTTCTTACTATTCTTCATTCTGACTTTTTCATTGTAGGATGTGTTATTATAAGTGAATTACTTTTGTAAGTGAGTGTGTGTATGCATGTGTGTGTGTTTGCGCTTGTGTGTCCATATCCAGTGGTCCTTACATTAGCTTTTTTTCCGCCTGCACAATCCCATCTCCTGCCCATTCTTTATGCTCATGATGGTCCCGGCTCCTCATTTGAATATAGGTATTTGTTTATTGGGGTGTTTTGGTATGTTTATTTATTTATTTAAATTAGGTAAATCATGGCTGGGTCTAATTAAATGGCTGATGGTCACACACACTCACGGCAGGAGTCAGACCACTGGTGGGGAATGATTGGCTGTGTGTGTGTGTGTGTGTGTGTGTGTGTGTGTGTGTGTGTGTGTGTGTGTGTGTGTGTGTGTGTGTGTGTGTGTGTGTGTGTGTGTGTGTGTGTGTGTGTGTGTGTGTGTGTGTGTGTGTGTGTGTGTGTGTGTGTGTGTGTGTGTGTGTGTGGCTCAATGATCCTATGTGGGGCTTAAACACAGGAGGCTTAACTACAGCAGAGCGATCACAAGGGGGTGTTGACCCCCTGTGCACACACATATGCACACACACTCTATACAGTTACTACACACACACACACACACACACACACACACACACACACACACACACACACACACACACACACACACACACACACACACACACACACACATACACACACACACACACACACACACACACACACACACACACACACACACACTCCCCATGTAGCAGGCTAGCTGACTGTTTTAGTGTAGCTGGGCGGTGATGCTGGCCGTCCATGTAATTATGGCACAGTGCCTTTATCACCCAGCTGCAGTTGCCTGTGACCGTGGGTGAGGGGGCCTAAACCACTTTAATTACCCAGAGCCAGTGGCCTGTGGTGGGCCACACTTCGCCAAGAGATGCCCCTGCCTCTGGAGCTCTGGGAGGAGGGAGGGAGGGAGGGATGGATGCAAAGAATGAAAAGCGGGTGAGGATTGAAGAGGGGTGGGGGTGCAGTGAAGGAGAATAGGTGGGAGATAGTGAAGGGTGGAAGAACCGTGGGGGGAAGAGAAGGAAGATGGCGAGGGAATAGTAGAAGAAGAGATAGGATGTTCACAGTAAACAAGGATAGGCCTACAGGGTTGTTGACATATAGTGTGAATATGTTTCTCTTATTCGCACCAAGCACTATGACACACACACACACACACACACTCACGCGCGTCAGCCATGTGTAGGCTGTGAGATGACCTTTGAATGTATGAAGTCAGAGAGGATTAAGAGGAGACATTCCCACTATGAGAGGCCAAGACGAACCCCAACACATCATCACACTATGGACGTGTGCGGAGTATAGATGGGTGCTTGTGCTGCATGTATGTATGTATCCTGTTCTTATAGTTTCTAGCATGCCTAAGGCTTCATTCCTAGATTATGTACCAGGGCGGTTATAACCTTCCCCCGAAACACAACTAACCTCTACCTCTCTCATAATAGAGCTTCCAAGGTGTGTATTCTCCATTTATATTTATTTCTACCAAGTATTCATACGGGCAATCGGAATATAGGACCGAGATAAACACACACATGCAGACAACTATGGCTAATCTCCGGATGTGAATAGAAATTGATATGTTGAAAGGCACCATACTCACCTTATACATTTACAACCTGCCCTGAAGGGAACGGGATGTTTCATACGTGTTTTGTTAAATGAAATATTGTCTTCACTAACCAAGAGAAAAGATTAGCATGTTCTGTTTCCCATTTACATTTGACACCTTTGTTCAGTGCAAAGGTAACACAAGCTTTAACTGTTTGATTACTATAGTTACACATAGTTTAGATTGTAAGTGTCAGGGCCTTAGTGCTAAAATAATATTCCAGTGACCTTGGATAGGATAGGAATAGAAAACTGAAATAGCTAAAGCCGAAGAGATGTATAGTTTTCTCTGTGCTTAAGCAGTAGAGAATAATGATGTGGGGAAGGGAATATTGAGATGTATTATATACTATAAAATGAATAGTGTTATATTTTGAGTTGGTTCATTTCCGTTGTCCTTGTCATGTATGAATTCACTCTTGGAGCTTTGGCATTAAACTTTGTCTTGAAGATGTAGTATCCTCCTTGTCATTGCATTAACTCGGCCGACTTCAATGCCAGCCTGTGAAGAATCGGGACATCTACAGGCCATATGGTGTGCACCCACTTACTCCTTACACAGGTATTACACATATGGATTGGATTTACCTTAAGCCTAAACAAGAGCTCAAAGCTCTGTGGAACATATGTTCAGCACCAGCAATTTATGGCTAGAATAAAACAACTCAAATTCATTTATTGAAACATGTGGTACCATGCTTAACACATTTGCATTAGCATGTAGAATAGAATAGGAGGGATGAAACCCTCTTTAATGGTCACACATGCAGAGCCCCCAGCACACACAGTGACATTTGTTCTCTGCTTTTAACCCATCCTAGTACCAGGAGTCTAGTACTAGGAGCAGTGGGCAGCTATTGTACAGCGCCCGGGGAGGTGGGGGAGTGTCCGGTGCCTTGTTCAAGGGCACCACGGCAGGCCCCAGGAGGTGAACTGGGACCTCTCCAAGTAGCAGTCCACACTCCGTATTTAGGTCTGGTCCGGGACTTGAACCAGCAACCCTACAGCTCACAGTCCAAGCCCCTACTGACTGAGCCACTGCCGGACATAGAGATGTAGATGAGTACTGTAGCCTATCTATTGACGTCACAAAAGCATGTTGTTTGATTCTCCATGATGCAGAGCAGGCTTCACATATGAGGTGGCATGGAGGAAAAGCAGCTGTCCCGTCACAGTCTCAGAGTCGCTCATTGGCCCCTTGCATGGAAAACTCAGCTATTAGTGTATGCATATTTGTGTGATTATGGGTGGATGTTGACTAGTGTTGTAAAATGCTAGCATCGACTAGAGAAAGCACTATATAAATGCTGCAACTGTACATACAATATCTCTGCACGTGTAGACAAAGAGTAAGAGTAGCATGGGCAATCTCATTCAAATATATAGCAAATAACAGCAGGATGCGGTGGATAGTTTGACGTAAGCACATGTTTAAGATCAAGCAGTGAAGAGTCTGAAGACAGTATATGACAGTAAGTCCCAGCGTGAGCTCATCTAAGGATAGAGGGTGTCGTTTTTCTCATACTGATATTCTGAACAATCTGTGTTGTTGTATTTGTTGTAAAGTGTCTCTACTGTAGGCTATTTTTATTATATGTACAGCACTTTGGCTCGACCAAAAATCGTTTATAAATGTGCTATATAAATAAAACTTGATTTGATTTGATCTGATGTTTCAGACAGCAGTGACTGACTTTAATCAAGACTTTGAATAAGTATCTTTATTTGCACACTAGGGCTGTACCCGAATATCCAAATATTCGTTCGTTGGAGTACTATTCGGGTTTCAATTTCGTTATTCGGATATTCGTATTTTTTATATTTTTTATTTTTTATAGATCTCCAATATAACGTAAGAGCTTGTGCCTCTTCGAGGGGTGCTAACGCTTAACCATAAACGTTATTGTTTACTTTCTCCGTCTTTATATGTAGATATGACTTTTCTCCGTTAATCTCCGTTGTTTCCAAAGCAACAACAACTTCCTGTCAACAGCGCTAACTCTCCTTCAAAATAAAAGCATGTCCATACAAAATAGGAAGCCAAGCCAAATGACACTTAAGACATACACAACACAACACAATGCAATATCCTTTTCAATTTCAAAGAACACAAATTGGGTTGTATGCATTAACAAATAATTATAAAACAACAATACTGTGTAGAATAACAAAATGAATGCCATGAATAAACCGAAATACACGTGTTGAAGCGGTTCGCTGCTGATTACTACCGAATATCCGGAGCCCGAAAAATTGTATTCGGGACAGCCCTAATACACACTCATTCAAACATTGGACAGCAGCAGCATTTT